TTTCCCCATACTGAGAGCACCAGCTACAGAAAGAACAAATTACACATTGTGTTTACGAGCTGCCTGAATGTACGTCAGGTCCGTTTAAATATTCAAGAGCAGAGCAGACGTGTGTCTCAGTTTATTTAGAGTTTCACAGAGTGACGCTGGTTGGGCTGAGTAATTTGTTCATTTCATCCCCGCTATGATATTCTGAGATATGTTTTAAAATGTTCCTCCATTTTTGTGTCTCTTCATCTAATAGCTCCATTTAATTATTCTATAAATTATCTGTATGAATCTGGCAATACTGAAGAGTCTGACCAAGCACTTTGAGAGCTAGAAGAACAACATTAAGATAACGAGTTCATTCTAACTCACTTTAGCTCTCTATAAATGTTTTATTAGATGTATGTGTCGTTTTGGCTCCAAAAAGGAAGAAACACTAGATCTGAGCCCTAATATCCTGTCACAGTCCAACCCCCTGTGCAGTCGGACTGCAGGGACTAATCCCTCTAGACATTTTCATTCAAATAAAATGCTTCCATACAGGTTTACCATCAGGGAAACCATTCCCTTTTGTAATTCTAAATCACATCTTGCCACAATTACAGAAATCCAGGAATATGTTCAAGACCCTGGATTCTTTACAACAAGAGAAACAGTGTTTTATTTTATTTCATGTAAATCACCTTTTAATTAGATGTCTGGAGTCAAAACCAGCATCTGAGTTCTGTATTCTTGTCCCTGATATGATGTTGTTCCTGGGCAAATCCAATTATAAACCTCATTAATTTGATGTCAATTTGTTTTTATTCCTACTCCTTTTAAATGACTATGGTTTAAATCCTTTGAGAGAAGCTGTAAATGAAACATAAAGAGATATGTTTACTCTGGTACAAGACTTTAGGGTCGGCAGGACACTTCTTGCTGACAATCTTAGATCATAAAACATGTTACGTATTAAAAGTCTTTGGGGAGCAAGTGTTTACTCTTCCAGCAGAAATCCGTTTAGCAGACGCCCTTCGCATAATCATTGAAACAAATTGGTTGAAAGAAATTAAGATTTGTATTTGTAATGCAGTTTTCAGAGGACACAGACAACATATTTCACATATTCAGCAACTTCAAATAAATGATATTAACCATGAATATACAAATCCAAGATCTGTATTTTGTTGGTTTTGAATGGCTGAAGTGCAGTCGAGTCTTCAGTCTGCGATGGAAGACGTGTAATCTGCTGTCCTGATATCATTGGGGAGCTTTTCCCCCCATTCAGGAACAAGGAGAGCTAACAGGTGTGCTTCTGTTGACAACATGATAATATAATACCATTGTCTTAAAGCAAAATTGGGCAGCCACTGGTAACTATAGTGAACGGAGCAAACGAGAGGTGTTTTGTTGATCCACCTTTTTATATACAGTACGTTCACAGTGTCATTTTTTGTCATTTGGTTTGTCTTATAATCTATCACACGCTTGTGCGTCCGGGAAGAGGATTCCTTCTCTTTCGCTCTCCCCAAGGTTTCGAAAAAAATGTCCCCATTCTTTTTTGGGAGTTTTTCCTTGTACGATGCAAGGAGTATAAGGAAAGAGGGTGGTAGCTGTATACGCCGTGAAGCCCCCTGAGACAAATGTGTTATTTCTAATATTGTGCGGTATAAATTCAATTTGATTGATTTATTGATAGTGTGTGATAACTTGGGGAGGCTGCTGGTCTTTGATAAGCACATTTCAAGGATTAAATCAGGACAAATTGTAGCCACTTGTAGCCTAAAGTAGTTGTTTTAATCTCACATTTGTCTGACTGGCTCTTTTCGAAAGAGTGGTATAGGATGGTGTTTTTGTTGGCTATGTTTTTGTGGTCCTTCTGTTTGGGGCAGAGCCAATCCCCTCCAGGCTCTGCATGCTAATGTTTCTCCATAAGCATGTGCATCCTCACATCTGCATTAGGATCTCTCCGGAGAACGCTGCTGAGCTCTCAGGAGAGTGTGAGGTTAACTATAAAGGGGCCGCACTGATTTAATGCACAGCGGCTCTCAGATAACCTCTGCAGTGTTGAACTCAAAGAGAGATCTGCTAACGGCAGGAAATATTCTGTGCTTTAAAGCTGGTGATCACAACTAAAGGTGTACTATATAACTGAAAAATAAAGACAACACTCATGGAAAGACAACACAAATATATATAACACAAACATTTGATGTCCCTGTTTTCCAACCTGTTACCATCTGGGACAACCTGGTAGTCTGCTACTTTTTAGACGAACACAAGTTTTATGTTTTTGTTTTGAGTCAATTTCACAAACACACACAAAAACGGTGCTTTGCTCTTCATTGGCTATATTTAAAAAACGCTTGGAGGACGCAGGTGTGCACAAGCTGGCAGGAAGCAGCTGTTACACATCCACTGCTTCCACTGCCATGAGAATATAATTTTTCAAGCCATTTTAAGATGACACAGACATAGCAACATTATACAAAGCTATCAATGTCAATCTGTTGACATTGTAGAAAAGCCCACAAATAAATAACTTTAACAAGCACAAGGGGCAAAGCTTGAAAATATGGAAGGGAGATAAAGTGCCATTTTAAAAGATGTCAATAATGGTCATTAGCTGTTAGCCAGCATTTAAACAGTTTCTGAAAATCAGGAGGAAATCAAATTCAAGTGGTTTCACTGCTGGAGATGAATACCCTTCTGATTACTATGAGGCCTGGACTTCCACTTATGCCAGTGTTCAATAGTGTAACCTAATTACATAACCTATTCAGCTCAAAAAGCTATTAAATTAACTTTGCGTTATGTCATCAGGAAGTTCTTATAATTGATGATGTGATTAATCAATGCAGGCATAATGTCACCTCAAACTTTCAATTCGAAAGGCCTTAATACGCGATGCTGATTTAATATAACTCCTTATAATCTCTGTAGTAATCATATACTGCGTTAATATGACAGCTGTTCATCCGAGTGTATCTTTAGCAGCCATTTATCTCTCTCGCCGCCTCTTATGACTCCTCACTTCTCAGACGCTGACGAGAAAGAGAGCCATTCAGAAGCATTAGTCATAACTCTGTGTTATTCTGTGAATGTGTCACGCAGGACTTCAGACTGTGAATGAGACCATATGTTGAGCAGACAGAAGGATGGAATAATTGGGTCAGAAGAAATTAGGCTGAATGTGAGAAATCTGTCAGGCCATTCAACCAGGAGCCACGTGGTCAAAGCTCTCATCGCGCAGAGCTTAAAGACGCGTCGCACTGCCAACAATAACTGCAATGCCAACATGTTTTTTTATGACTTTTTTAAAACCACTGGCTGCCAAGTCTATAAAGGCATGGATCTGAGTGAAATAAAGTTGGTCTAATGTATCAGGACATTTTTTATTTTCAATTGAGAGAAAGCAGCAACATTTCTTTCTCCAAGCACTTTCTCTGATCAACCCGCTGCCCTACCCTTATTGCCATGTGCAGATATTGTAGAAAGGGAGAATTTATTGAATTGGAAATACAAATCTGGGTTTTTGCAGTCATTCAGTACTGACATTCTTCTTTTTCTATACTCAGTTCTAAATAGTATTTGTGAGGTTCAAGAGGTGAAACAGTTACAAGTCATGTATACAGTAGCATCAAATCCATTCAGTGCTTACAGTGAAACCTCACCTAAAACACCTTTTATCACTTACAGTGGAGCTTCTGCTTATTTTCAATTATTTCTTCTTCAGTGCTTCTACTCCAGGTACAGAAAATACTCTAGGTGCTTCCACTTAATCTTTTAATGCTTATAAACCCTTTTTAAAATCTCCTTGTAATACTTTTATTTAAAACATCAGACGATTTGAATTGTTTGAAATGCATTTTTCAAACAAATGATAACCTCTTCTAGAAAATGTACATTTCATATAATAAATTAGCTTTTTTGTGAAAAGAAAGTGAAGGGGCCCTATTGCTTTTTGGGGTTTTCCCTTTCCTCTAGTGTGTTATATACTGTAGGTTATGGTCCATCTAAAATCCCATAGTTCCTCCAGAGGGAGTTTCTCTACGGTTTTTCGATACACTGGAGTGCTCTTCACTTGACTGTTGAGATTGTTGTTGCCATGATACCATGAAGTCGCTGAAGTTAATTCAAAGTGATGGTTAGTTAATGAAGGTTCATTGTATTTGATCGAGTAACATCAGCATCATCGGCTCACTTGTGACAGATTCTTGTTTTGATTTATACACAAAGACAGTAGACTCTTTGTTCTCTTCAGACATGCGGGAAAAAGAAACCCACTGGTGCAAACTTTTAAATGACTCAAACCACAGTCTACTTGTCATAGTTAATTCAATTACAAGTGTTTATGTTACCGGTTATGCCTGCAGGCAGCCGCGGAGATTTGATGATAAACTACAGAGAGGAGACTTTACTTGGCTTAGGATCTCTCAGCAGCAGCGGCTGTATGAGCAGGAAGTGTAGATGAATGAAAGCAGAGTTTGGGAGGTAAAAGTGGTCGTTAGGTAGATTATCGATGGACAGCAAGGTGTGCAACTCCCCTGCCTTTTGTCTGTAATTCCAAGATTGATTCAGCTTCCCAGTTATTGGGAGCCTCATCATTTTAACTAAGAATAACACTTGCATCACCAATAGGAGGGCTGGGTGCCTGCCTGCCTGACAGCCATTCATTCCCAATGTAATTAGTGTGTAAGGGGAGCCAGGAGAGAGTGGCGCCAGACTCAGGCTGAATAATACAGGGGGGGGGGGGTGTAGAGCACTGATGGATAATTTAACATGGATCTCCAGAAGACAGTACCTGAGTGTACTGCTAAGGAATTTCTGTGAATGTGCTCAAGTAGAGAAAGTCTGACAGATTTTCATAATAACAAATATTCATTTGTCTCTCACTCTTTTAGGGAAAATCCTTTATCTCCCATGATTAATGTGCAATGCTGAGCGTAGAAAGCGGGAGATAGAATTATTATTCATAGTATTCATATGAAAGTGTTCTGATAAGCACCATGTTGTTCTTTCCCCTGCAGATAATTTTCCGCAAAATCAGTGACGTGAAGAAGGAGGAAGAAGAGAGGCAGCGGGCGAAGAACGAGGTGCAGCTCACCATCCCGCAGGACCACCCAGTCCGGAAGCTGTTCCAGAAGTTCAAGCAGCAGAAGGAGCTGCGCAGCCAGGGGGCGACGGCCACCTCACAGCTGGACGTGGAGAAGAACCAGCTGCAGGTGGAGCAGCACCAGCAGCACCTGCACCCCCACAGCCTGCAGCTGGGCCACTCCAGCCTGCAGCACTCCCTGCCGCTCAGCCTGCAGCGCCCCCCCTCCTCCCTGCAGAACGGCGCTCCGCTCAGCAGCAGCGTGCTGACGGTGTCTCAGGTCACGCCCATGCACAGCTCGCTGGTGTACGGCGATCCCCCCGTAAAGCAGAACAACTGTGACATCATGGAGCTGAAGCCCAGTGCCGGGGGGGCTGCAGGGGAGCAGACTGTCAGGGTGAAAGTCAGCACCAGCCCCGCGCTGACCAAACCCGTGGTGAAAGCCAGCGCGTGGATGCGTCTGAGAAGCAACGCTGCGCCAGTGGAGCCCAGGAAGGAGGGGCTTAACAACAAGGCTGTTTCCGTGGAGATGCTCTCTCAGGAGGGCAAAGGTCAGGAGGCAGGAGGCGGCGGGGGTGTAGAGGAGGGCGGGGTGTCCAGCAACAATCCGCTCCGAAAGACAGACTCATGCGACAGCGGTATTACGAAAAGTGAGCTGCGGATAGACAGGGCGGGGGAGGCACGGACCCCCGCTGCCATCTCCCCGCTCCTCCACAGCCCTCTGCCCGGGGGGGCGGGGTCCCCTCACCCTTTCTGCCCCATCCCGGAGCAGGCCCTGCAGGCGGCGCTGCACGAGACGCGGCTGGAGCTCCGGGAGGACATCCAGATTCTGGGGGGCCGGCTGGGCGCTCTGGAGGGTCAGGTGGCCGAGATCATCAAACTGCTGTCGGACAAGAAGAGACCGACCCCCGAGAGGCCGTCGGCACACAACACACCCAAAACCAAAATACAACGTCAGGACATTTTCACCGTTTCTAGGCCTGTTTCTCCGGACTCAGAGAAGGACGAGGGGCTCTGAAGGGGGCTCACCCAGTGGTGTACCGGAGCCAACACTGATCACATGGCACATTGTTCTACTATGATCACGTTTATCCATTTTTGGGCATCAGTTACGCCACTGGTCGTAATCCTCCGAGGTTAAAGTTTCTAACATTTGCACACTAACTTTTATCTCCGGGTCGAGTGAGAGTCCTCTCTCCGTACTGACCTGGGTCCCGTTTTTGTGATTGTACATACCTCTTAATGCATGTCCAGCTGGATTCTGGTCTGCCAAATAAACAACTACTGATCGTACTTACTATACGCCTGTATATTATGCAGTTGACTGCATGCAAATCTAATTTAAACAGACATTTTATTGAGCTGCACTGTACATATGAATTTTTTTCATTGATAATTGACTATGTGGACATTCAGGGTTGCATACAGGTAGCACTATAGACATTGAGTAAGAAAGGGGTTTACTGGCAGAGGGATTGTGCATGGATTATTTATAAATAGAGGAATCGAAATGGGATGTTTTTTTTTTCTTTGCCTGTGAGATGATTCTGCTTTTGCCTCACCCTCCTAAGAACACAAATGTGATGATGAGCAACACTTAAGTGGAATTTTCTGGTATGTTTTATATTATCAAATTTGCTTATTATAATAACTGATTTTCTATTTTTGATTACAAAAATGTCCTTGGCCTCAGTTTGATATCGGGGGAACCCTTAAATGGATATTTTGTTAGGATCCTCCTCGTGTCTATGCATCGCTCGGGTACGCCGAGAGAATATTATACCTTAAGTTATCATGTCTGTGAATGAAGGATGTTTCCTCCTCTTTTATTGGTCCATTCCTCTGCATGATTCAGGGATGGCAGAATGCACTTTGGGTAAGGTTTGGTCGACGATGAAGGCTTAGGGGAAATAAACCAATTTAGTTCACATTAAAGATCACTCACAGCACCGAGACATGTAATCCCTCAGCCCCTGCACCACACACGGCAGTCTTAACCAGCGAGCGTCGCTCTGAAGCCCCGCTCTGAAGCCCCGCTCTGAAGCCCCGCTCTGAAGCCCCGCTCTGAATTCCATTAGCAGCTTCGCCGCAAAGAGCTCGAGTAATAAGAAATGGAATACTGTACTTTTTATGATATCAGTTTTCTAAATCTGCATGCAAAAGGAGAAGTTTTATGCTCCAGAGTGCGTACTTATACATATACAGACACACACACACACACATATATATATATATATATATATATATATACACACACTCTTCATGCACACAGTGTGGTGGCATCTCTTGATGTGAACCCCAAAGGCCTTTCTTCACAGAAAGGGAGATCAGAAGGTTTTTCAGGTCTTGTGAGATTTAGACGCTGTCCTCCCTCACACTACATTATATCAGCACTCATTTGACACACACACACACACACACACACACACACACACACACACACACACACACACACACACACACAATCATATGTAATAAGAATAAGGAAGAACACAGATGCATGGTGGTCATCATGTAAGGTTCAAATTGTTTGTAATGAGCAGGTTCATGTCATTCCTGCTTCATTATCTACAGTGTGAGTGAATGGACAGGTGGCAGAAAACAGTGAATTAGAGGTTTTAATAATTGCCCAACGGACCTTGTTATGGCTAATTCCTGTTTGTCATTGGCTCTAGGATAAACTAATAGATGAATTTGGATGTTTGTCTGTATTAGACAGTCAACAGTAGAAACAACTGAAAACGATGAGAGGAAGACGGTGAATAACAAGCAAAAAAAGATTCCCTTATCCAACTTTTACTAAGGATATAGTTGTTCTCGGTTGGCACCTTAAACCTCTAGGTCACAGGGTCCGCTAGCAAGTGATATATTTTTTTAAAAGATAACAAATCTAAGGAAGAAATATATTTTTGCATACCTTTCAGTCTAGTGCCATACTCGGAGTACTCAACATGCCCCAATTCAACAAACACAGGATGATAGGAAAAGAGATTGGTAGATATCATATACCAGTATAATACTGACGTGGTCAGGACTTCAGATGTTAAAGATACAATGACGGGTATATCAGAATGTATTTGCCCTCTTTAAATAGTTTCACAGCATCAGTGACGTCCTGCATGACCGGTTGGATGCCAGGATGTTGACATTGCTGATCCAGGAAGTCTATAGGCCGACATATGCTTGGAAATATTTGCTTTACGCTAAATATATGTTCCTGTAGATGACACGTCTATGTGGAAAATATTGACTATTCTAAAATTGCCACACTTCAAGATGGGACAAAAAGCTTTCCTCAGAGAAAGCAGTTCGGAACATATTAATATAAGATAAGCAGTTTAATGGCTTCTGTTTTCTGTACCATCCTGCTTCACACACGCAGAGTTTCCCCTGCTCTTTCTGCTGTTGGCCACTGAGCGGATCCCTTGCAAGAATCAGGGGTAAGTGCCTTGCTCAGAGACACGTCAGCAGCAGTTTCAGGCAATCTGGCCCCCCACTATAAATGCAGAAATGTATCTATTAGAGTCTTTCAATGATGGCTATTACTGTACCTGTGTTGAGCATCACATACCAGTTGGTTTCATATCCTTTTATCTCACGTAGATGTCACTTATATTGAATATCATGCAATGCTATGCAACAGTTTATTCTCTTACAGGCTGAATATGGACCTTTATCGTCCGATAGTATATCATGTCAATAGGCAAGCCAGTATTACATTTATTATTATAGATATATCTGTATGCGGGATGGAGGATGCGTTACCGTGTGTAGATAAGATATCTTTATTTATATCCAAAAAAATCAAACATGACACATAACACACCAAAAGATTAGTAGAATATAATGTTTTTTAATTTTTTTTATGAAAGGCAGTTAGTTGAACACCTCCCTCCTACACTCAAGTTTTTGACAGGACAGCTCCAAAACAAACACCCAAACTCTGGTTAACTTCACTTGTATTTTAAATTATCGCCATCATGCTAAATTGCTAACAACCAGCTAAAATAAATGGACATCCTTACTGTTTTTTAAGTAAAGCTAAGTCTGTCCGATCTGATATGGTTCTCTGTCTGCTGATCATTTCTCTGTAAAAGCCTTGAAGAGGTAACTTGATTTGACATCAGTCAGTGTAGAAAGACCACATATCACATCTAAAAGTGAGTTTATTAGGTTTTCTGAGAAGTAGTTGAAGGTTTTTCACGATGATTGCAAAGAGTACAAGCAGGTCTGTATTAATAGAGTTTGTGAGAAGACTGAGGTTGTCATGACCTGACATTCTGGTACAAACTGCAGGCTCCTAATTCCACTGAAAAGACACAAATAGTGATGAAGAAATTACATAAATTACAATCTTTTGAAGAAAGAACAAAAAATTAGTTTGCTTTCAGATATTTTACTTTTCGATCAGACGGCTTACAAAATCAAATATAATTCAAAGTATACTGCTAACTTGTACATAATGTCCTGAAACATATTTTCTTAAACCACCTAAACATGTACAGTGAAACAGATTTTGTTTTCATGCCACTGAAATTAAAATGAGTTAAAGTCTATACTTACTTCAAGTGTGTTAATACTGTGACAGATGGAGCACATGAGAAGTTCAGAGCCCCAGGGGAAAATACAGTATTGGATCAAATTGCTTATTTTAGATTTGCAATACACTGATTCTATTTTAGGAGATGCTCCCTCAGCGGTTAAAGTGCATGATGGGATAGATCTGCAGGACAGGGACTCGTAGGCAGTGTGAGAGTTTCCCTGTCAGTGAACTCGCCTGAAACTTTACCACCTGCCTGGTTCTGTGAGGAGACACCAGCAGCAGGAAGCTCATATCCTTCTTTATTCATTTGACGAGAGAATGAAGGCCTGTAATCTGAGCCCCGCACAGACACACACAGACACACACATACACACACACACACTTTTCAGCGCAGGATTTTTCGGCTTTGCCACTTGAATGTACACCCCACTGTCCCCTCTCTGCTCTCCCAGACTTTTCACTGGGAGCAAAGATGATTATTTTGATGTCTCCCTTTGTTTCTTGAAATAAGTCTCTTCTCTGACAGTATCCTTCTTGACACTGGAAGGAGGTCCTCCTGTCTCCCCTCTCTGACAAAAACCTCCTCTATCTTTTAGTTTCTTCTGCTCTCTTTCTCTCTGTCCCTTTCCCTCTCTTGTATCACCCTCTCCTCAGCATGCTGATGGTGTCATGCCCACTGACTGCCACCACAGATCCAGCTCTCTGGGGATGGGCGAGCTCGACTGAGGGGCCTCATTTATTAAAACCATCCTTTGGCTTTATCCAATTCCACATATTGCATTGAATAATTATGACACTAAAAGTATTTCAAGTCATTCGGAAGAGGATTAGGCCCACATATCTGATTAAAATTGAAGTCAGTATTCTGAGAACAAGTCAATATAAAAAAGATATTTGAATTTATCTTTTCTGAATTCCGAGAAAAATATTAGTTCTAAGATTTTTCAGAAAATAATTTAATTCTTTATTTTTTGTCAGGATTCTGAGTTTAATCTCAGAACAAAAAAAAGCTCAGATCTAAAAAGAAAAATCTTGGTTGGCCCAAATCCTCTTCCTCAAAGTCATTTCCCGGATAGTGATATATATTTTATTATTTGATATTTTGGAAAATAGATGCATCCTTTCACAATCTTTTAATTCAGATTCACTCCTAAATCTTTGGATGATTTTAACAGACGGGGCCTCGGGGTAAAGCTTCTCCCTTTTTTTCTACTGGAATGTTTTCTATTTCTACTGTTTTGTTAAAGCGACGGTCGGGAGCAGCACTGAAATCCCACTCTGACTTATGAATTGTTTTACAGTTGCACACATAAACTGTAGTGTCCGAATAATAAAAAGCCGTCTGGGAAACTCTCCATTCTTCCTGTCTGCCTTTGTCTGTCTCGCTCTGTTTTTAGAAACATCTTCCTCTTCACTGTGAAAGGGGCATTAAATAATCAATGACCTTCATTGATCTGTATTGGCTGCCAGTAGGAGCTGAAACTCAAAGAGGCTGCAGGACCACTCCTAACCTTCATCTGTCCTGCCGAGCTGTGTCTGCCTGTAAGTAAAAAACAACACAACAAAGAATTCGACAAACCAAGCTCCTGAAAGTGACATTTTATCAGGTGCAGCTAGCTAATAGTTATGCAGCACACAAGCTCTGCAATAAATCCTCTTTGGGAAGGTTATAATCTTCTGTTTTTGTTTTGTTCCATAACTTTATGATCATTTTGGAGGACATGCACAAGTGCTGTTGAATTATGTTGTATTATACCAAGACGTGTTTCCAATATCTATCCTGTCCTTATTGATATTTGTGGACAAAGTAATATAAATACCCTCCAAAATAACCATGTATAGTTTAATCAACACTTTTCTCAAGGGAACTTTTTGCAAGACTTCATTATTTTTAGCTTAGTACCTGTTAAACTAGCAACTGATTGTTGATTGCAATACAGAACGTAAAATAAAATCAACTGTTTTCTGTTAGCATTTTCTTGAAATCCTATTTTTTAATCTAAAGCCAGTTTCTTAGCACCCATTCTAATAATGATAATAATAAACTCTGTCATTACTAATACAGTATATTCTTTCAAGCTTAAGCACAGAGGGCTTACCATATTCAAATTAACTGATTCATTATTACATTTTCTGATTTCATACAAAGAACATGTCATAAAGAAGCTCTTTCATTTAAAATGTAAGAAAGTGCAAATGATAAATAAACCCATTGACGCTGAACTGTTCATGATGTATGCAGACTATTTGCATGAACATACTGAATGTGCGGCTGAAGGATGAAACTCCGGTCAGAGGAGTGCAGATGTATCCTCCAGACATTCAGCGCTGCAGGTAAGGTAAAAATAGAAATACAGTAAATGGACGTTTTTATTTCTGAACTTGAACAAAAGGATTTTCTCTGCAGGTCACATTCTCTGTCAGGAAACTTCAAAGACTTCAACTCTTGTTCATTTCCACTCTGTCCATGCAGCTCAACCTTTCACACACTTCCATTGTTCTTCGTCTCCTCTTCCTCCTTCATCAAAATACCCCTCATTCCTTTCTATC